TTCACCCATGGCTCAGGAGATTGACTGTACGCATTCCAATGAGGTGAACCGGCTTCGAATCTCATTTATAGGTGCTCCGGCTTGCACCGACCACAGTGCTGACGTAAAATATCCTCTGTGGTAGACGGATCATGGGTTAGAGTCCCTTTGCCCCCAGGCTAACCGTGGGAGATTTTAGAGGTTTTCCTCTCCCTGTAACGCAAATGTGGGTTAGTTCAATCAAAAAGTTCTCCACGAAGGCAAATTTCTCCCAATACATGATCCAGGAATTTCCTTGTCCTCTGAATTCGGTTCAAAATTACAAGGTTACGGAGCTGAACATTAGTAGCCTTAAACCCAAAAATTGGACCGGCTGTTCAACGACGTTTATAATACATTATTATATAATATATTACTTCTGGGGGTACTGATCCAGGAGCTTCTTCGTCTTCCGGATTGAGTTCTAAATTACAAGGCTACGGAGTTGAACATCGGTTGTCGTAAACTCAAGTTTGGGTCTTCTGTTCAGCGATGGTTATAAAATAAATAAAAAAATAAATCACCAGTAGTTATTTCTTTGAAAAAACCATATATACTCATATGTTAGAAGGTGGTGCATACCTGCCAACTTTTAATCCTTTCCATTATCATTTTCCCCAGTGGTATTAAAATGGAAATAAAATTTCAATTTTGAGCAGAAAAATACGCTGTACTTGAGAAAACTTAAGCTATCAACCATGATAGAAACACACATTAATATATGTGTTGAATTTTTTTTAGGAATAGTGGTGATCAAAATCATTTAAAAATTAAGTTTATAAAAGAAAAAATAGCATATATTTACTACCACTTTAAATATGAAAATGAAATTTTACGCCAAATGCGTAAAAGTTGGCAGGTATGGTGGTGTAATAAGCATCTGTTGCATATTCGTAGTTAAGTCAGCTTAAATTGTTAAGATTACGCTATCTGAAAACTGTTCCATTTAGGACTTAAGTATGCTTGCATTAATTTATTTCAAAATTATCTTATGCAATGCTCTGGGGAACCAAATGTTTTCACCATGATTCGGTGTAACATAATTCGATGAACGAAATTCTATGTAATAATAATCGAGATTTCAATGAAACAGTGAAAAATGAACTTTAAATAACCCAAGACAAATTACAAAACTGAAACAATCGTCCAATCACAATATATGTTTTTGAAATAAAAATTTGCCCTATAAGTATGACGGTGGGTGCTAACAGGTTAAAAGGACAGTTTACTTTTTCAAAATCGAAAAAAAAAAAAGATGGGGATACAAGTGGGTCATTGCTAGGATTATTTCTGCAAAATCAAGGTCTATCATAATATATAAAAATTATTAAATTATATTTGAATCTGAAGGCAATTTAGTTTTTTAAAGTTAAAGTTTAGGAGATCCAGAGAAATAACCACATGGTATAAACAAATGTGTGCTACCATTTTTTTTTTCAGGTAGTAGTTTTTCATGTATAGACCACTTCTTGTTACAGGGTATAAAAGAGGTAATTTATCAGGGATGCTATGGGTGACTAAGAAGTGGTTCATTACGGGTAAGAAGTGGTTTATTTTTATTTATATATTCTGGTCAATTATTCAATAGTAACTACCACTATAACTTACATAGAAAATTATTCATATTTAAAGTAAAAACATTCTTTGTATATAACTTCAGTTGTAAACTGAATAAAATACGCTTGATAACGTTGCTAATTTTAATCGCTTTTAAGATAGATTTGCTCTTTATTAGTCACCCTTTTTCGCAGTTTCAGTCACCCCTAGCATGCATGATGTAATTTTAGCACAGTCGCAAATCCTCAACTTTTAATCTTTTTGAAAATAATTTTCGCTAGCGGAAGAAAAGAGAGCATTAAATAATTAATTATACTTAGAAATTTATTTAGTATTTCATATGAGCCTAAAAAAATCATAGTCAGATTAACATATTTTAACATATATGCTTAATTTCGTTTTATATGTAGTGAAAATCAAAATTATTTTAAATTAAATTTATAAATTTAAAAAATAAGTAGAAAAAACACAAATTTTACTACCACTTTAAATATAAAATAAAATTTTACTTAAAATACGTAAAAATTGGCATCCATTTAGTCACCATAGATGTGAAGTATCCTACATGTTTAAGCACTAATTAACTAAATAATTATTCTGCATTCTTAAAATCATAATTAAATTAATATTACATTGCATTTTAGTTATTTTATTTACCTAGCAAAAATTTACGATGAAGTACATTTCGTTAAAAAGTTAGCGGTAAAAAAAAATTGTCATTCATTCCACAACTATGTTTTAAATAATACATTCAGAAACCACAACCTAAAACAAATCTCAACGCAATAGGCCCATTACGATAGAAATTCTGAAGTGTATATACGAGGTGTGAATTGAACCATTTACCCGAGCTTCGATGGAAACGCCTGAGTTAATAATAGTTAATAACGCCGAGTTAATATTAATTTGAAAAATAAATAGAAAACACAAATTTTACTACCACTTTAAATATAAAATAAAATTTTACTCAAAATGCGTAAAAATTGGCAGCTATTTACTCACCATAAATGTGAAGTAACCTACATGTTTGAGCGCTAATTAACTAAATTATTATTCTACATTATTAATATCATAATTTAATTAATATTACTTTACGTTTTAGTTATTTTATTTACCTAGTAAAAATTTGCAATGAATTCAATTTCGTTAAAAAGTTAGCGGCAAAAAAAAATTGTCATTCATTCCACAACTATGTTTTAAATAATACATTCAGAAACCACAACCTAATACAAATCTCAACGCAATAGGCCCATTACGATCGAAATTCTGAAGTGGATATACGAGGTGTGAATTGAACCATTTACCCGAGCATTGATGGAAACGCGGAGCATTTGAATCGAAATCCAACAGATTAAAGCATTGCTGGGGAAAGATATAATCAACTTTTCCCCTAATTGGGCAATTTGAGGCAGAATTGAGGAGATAGTTGAAAGGTTCGCCATGAGGCAATTGCTAGTTTGTTGGCGAATTTGATGATGCATGAAGTTGACCATCGGTCATTGTCAAGCAGACGTAACAAACAAACATAAGCGGAAATTCCAATTGTGTTGAACATATAAACCGCCTATTCGGTCTCAATTGTCGAAACGGGTAATTCAGCTATTTAAATTGAAACGCATAAATGGAATCAATGGGAATAAGGATGATTCTTTGTTTGTTTATTACTATTTGCTTATAATTTAGCACCTTGCATAAAAGAGAATCAAATAAATTTTTGAAATCAACTTAGAGAGCACACTTTTGCAAATATTTATGATTATCACCTTAAATTTACCTTCAAAAGGTGATAAAAAAATAAGCTATTAATAAACAAAATATTGACCCTTTCTTTTATTAAGCGTATTTTTCATACTTTATTTTGTATTTATTTTAAGACAAACTGAGCGAAAATTATTATAGTTAGCATTTCAATAATTTATGGTTATGGAATACAGCGTGTAACACCGATGTTTTTTCTGTGTTTAAGATAAAATATTGCAAATATTTATGAATGTAACTTTAAATTTACCTTCAAAAGGTGATAAAAAATAAGCTATTAACAAACAAAATATTGACCCTTTCTCTTATTTAAACATATTTTTAATACTTTATTTTGTACTTATTTAAGTCAAAATGAGCAAAAATTATTATAGTTAGCATTTTAATAATTTATGGTTATGGAATAAAGCGTGAAACACCGGTGTTTTTCCCGTGGTTAAGATAAAATATTCCAAACACAGCTCACTGCGAAACAATAATTGTTCCAATTTGCACTTATTTGCAGTTATTTAGATCTAAGAGAAACAGTTATTCATTATTGAAATTTCTTTAACTTACAAAATCAATTATTGAAAAATTTTTGAATATGAATATAAAAAAATTAAAACTTCTTTTTATGGATTTTATATTTTATGACAAATATAATTCCTGAAATGTAACAGAATTTAGACACTATTAGACTGTTTTTTGTAATTAAATAATATCAAAATATATTTTTGCTTGTTATTAGAGAGCCAGAAAATGGACACAGGTGTCCCATCTGCGTCAAAAAAAAAAAGCTAATCCTGAAATTAATGTTTTCTTTTCTTCAATTGTTCCTGTCTCAGTTTCCTTGAAGGAAAAATGTTCTGAATCTTGGTAGCACTTCTAAAATAGCAAAGCAAAATTTTCTTTAAAGTTTCAGTTAATAAAAAATAAATAAAAATCAATGTGGTTTTTAAGGCACATTACAATACAATATAGCTCTTGCTTTTTGCAAATTATGTCGGGAATACTTTCAGCCAATTCTTCTCTCTTCTGTAAAATAATTCCACAAAACAATTTTCACCCAACGCTGTCAATGCCACAATAAATCTCAAACGCTTGCATTGTATCCTGGACCGTTTATGAAACGATATTGGTGAAACACAACTAACTCAAACAACTTATTACCTTCTGCTTTCACAAAGAATTCCATGTTGTTTATGTCAGTAAGCGACAAAATCTTATATATTTATCTTTATAACTGGGCTCCATAAACAACATTACATAGCTACGTTACCAACAATCTTTTGTTTACAGTTAGGAAAATTTTGGATCAAGTTGTTGTTGCTTCGTATCTCTCTTGAGCAACAACAGCAGCAACATATAATTCAACATATAATTAATTTGATAATTGTTTGTTTTACCACTTTACTCTCGGAGCATTTTAATTATTTTACTGCTGTTGCCATCAGACTCTGTAATGTTTACATAATGTTACTCTGTAATGTTACTTTTTGTATTTTATGTACTTTTCTGTTTTTCTTGATTTTAATAAACATTTACCCGTATGCCCTAAATTGGGGCAGGTCGGGGTAAATATTTCATAAAATTTAAAATACTAAAAACAACAAGCAAAAGAAAAAAAATTGCAAAATTTAGAGAAATCAATCAAGATACATAAAAGTATTTGTAATTGTTTTTACCACAGTCATTCAATGATTTTGACTTTTCTTCAAGTTCCTTCTGCAAAAGGTTTATCTTTCCTTCTGCTAAAGCTGAAAACATAAATTCATAACATTAAATTTTCAAAAAAAAATGGAGAAAAAAATTACAATGAAAAAATAAGAAAAAAAGAATCTATACATTTTTCAAAATATGCTCAAATACAATAAAAAAACATCTCCATAACTAAAAAAAAAAAATGCTATAAAAAAAAGCAAGATTTTGAAAATACAATTGTCATTGAAATTCCTAACTTTTTCATTATATTACAAGTAAGATGACTCTTTAGTCAGCAATTAATACATTCACTTACCTCAACGCTAAGATATAAGTAATGTGGTTGCAAATAAACATTAAAACAAAATATCTTAAAGCTAAATTGCTTGCCAAACAGACCTTGAAAATAACAAGCAGCATTGTTTTGATTGCAGCGAACAAAATTTAATACTTCTCTACATTCTTCGAACGTATGCAACTCTGTAAAAGCTACTCATTTGTCATTTACAACACATGATTGATCACAGTGTAAAATCACAGAACATTTTATGAAGTTCATTTTGTCAGTTTTTATCAAAGCAATTGGCATGCCTGATAATAATTGATCAATAGTAACTGAGATCTNAAAATAAATTCCTTAAATGCTACAAACTTCAAAAGTAATTATGTATTTTATAACTTTTATACGTTTTTTTAAAAGTGACAAATGGTTACCAATTTTATTCAAACTCACTTCAAGAAATCTGAAGTTATTGAAAAATAGAAACCTAAATTAAAAGTGGTAAAACGCGGTGGTAAGTATGCATACCACGGCCTTCAAAAGGGTTAAGGCGCGTTGCAATATAGTATAGATCTTGCTCTATGCTAATGATGTCGGGAATATTTTCAGCCTATTCACTCTACTGTAAATAATTCCAGAAACCAATTTTCACCCAATGCTGTCAATGCCCAATACATCTCAAACGATTGCATTGTATCCTGGACCGTTTATGAAACGATATTGGTGAAACACAACTAACTCAAACAACTTATTACCTTTTGCTTTCACAGAGAATTCCATGTTGTTTATGTCAGTAAACGACAAAATCTTATATATTTATCTTTATAACTAGGCTCCATAAGCAACATTACATAGCTACGTTACCAATAATCTTTTGTTTACAGTTAGGAAAATTTTGGATCAAGTTGCTTCGTATTTCTCTTGAGCAACAAAAACAGCCCATAAGCTAGTGAGCTAGTGATATGTGTCGTGCCCATAAACTAGTGATATGTGTCGAAACTGCTCTAAAAAGTTCTGGTAGTTATGGATAGTTTAACTGTCCAGAAAGTCACAATAAAACTAATTCCTAACCAAAGTTTGCTCTTTTTCGTCTTGACATACATTATAAGCTTCCATCCCTGGTTGATATACCACAAATAAGAAATTACAGAATTGCAGAATTTTTTCTAATACGGAAAAGAATCTTTCACTCTACCATAATATTTTCAGAAATGTTTATGTTTCTTTGAATCTTTAGAAGAACATTAAACTTGTTTAAAACTTAAATGATAAATTGATTTCAAACAAAATTTCATTATTAAAAGGAAGTAATTTAGTTACTATTCTTAATCTTCTTGAAGAAAAAACATATTCCCCCAAACAAAGAGCCGTGGTAGCTCAGGGGGTAGAGCATTAGCCTCAAAATGAGGTCACTTAGGTTCGAATTCCAGCGGTGGCTGGTTGATTTTGACTCTGTTCCTCGAACGCACGAACCACAACGCTGACGTAAAATATTCTCAGTGAAGATAGACGGATCATGGGTTAGAGTCCCCTTAATGGAGGGCTCACCGTGGGAGATTTTCATGTTTTTCCCTCAAATGTAACTCAAATACAAGCTGTTCTATAAAAATATTCAGCAAAAGCAAATTTCTCCTGATACTTGATCCAGGAGCTCCCTTGTCTTCCGAATTGTGTTCAAAATTACAAGGCTATGGAGTTGAACATTGGTTGTCTTAAACTCAAAATTTGGTCAGCTGCTCAAAGACGTTTATAAAAGAAAAGAAAATTCCCCCAAAAGATGACAAGAGCTGAATGGAAGAAAATGAAAACAGCCATGAGACACGTGAATTGAAAATAACTAAATCAATGATATAAATAGCCACGAATCTGCTCGCGTTGTGCATTCAAAATAGAACTCAATACTTGCATTAAATTATGAAACGTTATCCTTATTCCGAGCGGTTTTTCAAATCATTTATGTAACTTTTTTTTTAGCTTCTTCTCATATACCTCGATTAAATAAACGACGCTATATTTAGTATAATATAATGGCGAGAGTATATTTATTGATTTTTAGGAAACAGTTTATAAATACCATTCCCCTCATTAATGCGATAGTTCTTTACCAAAAATACTGCGATGGGAATATATAAATTGAAATATTGATAACACATGTTCTGTAAGTAGAATTCTCGCCCGATTGTTCATCCCCCCGCAAAAACCATCAATTATAAATTATTATCACTTTGTGGTTGCTCACGATTCTGTCAATGAAGTACATGAAATCTTGAGTATGGAAATAATATTTTTTTTTTTTGTCTTCGTGAGTGTAAGACACACCCACATTTCGATATCGGAGGGTGTGCAAAATGTCGAAAGGTGCGACTGTCATAGCATTACGATATCTTTTGTCATATTCTCCTATGCCGCATTAAATTATTACGAAAAAAGTGGTGGTTTTAACTGCACGATTTTTATTCTCTACCTATTGGCTATGCTGTCAAGACCGTTACTGAGCACGCAATGAAGATTCATGCTTACTGATATCTATTGAATAGATAAAGAATTAGCTGCTGTGTTGTATTCTATTTTATGTTATTATAAAATGTGTTGTCTAAATAGAACACTGCTGTATTGTACAATACAACTTTCTAATTTTTGTAGAAAAATGCATATCTGCCAACTTTTACGCAATTGGCTTAAGGTTTTATTTTAATTGGCTTAAAATTTAAATTGAAGTGGTAGTAAAATGTATGCTTTCTATATATTCCCAAAGATGCCAACTGCTCCGGACACGCCAAAATAATTAGACAAACGGTAGATAACAACAAAGTAAATTTTGAAAATATTTGACTATTTTTGCTTGCTTTTCAAAAGATATAGTATGACATAAGTGTTATAAAGTGGTGAATTATATAAGCCAACGAATTATTTTGAAATAGTGGTGGATAGAAATCTACTAAATTGAATTTATTAAACCATGAATCACAGTTGCTAAACTACCACTTTAAAATATATATTTGCTGTCCGGAGCAAGTTGGCATCTCTGTATTCCTTGCATTTATAAATTTAATTTGTAATTTTTTTGACCATGACCTAGACAAGACCGAGGCTCATACTTTTTTCATATAATTTTTTAAATTTTTAAAAAAACCTGGAAGGCTTGTTGTATACTCAATAGTTTCATTTACTTGCTTTTCTGTATAAGATTCTTTACACGCTAAATCCAACCTGTTCAAAATTATTTTAAAATTAACATATAATTTCACGAACTAAAAAAACAATTATAAATGTAAATACCTTTGTAAAAACTAAATACTACAGGTAATTTGTTTAAGAAGGAAGCTATATACTACTACTATAAATGTAAATTACTACCGCTTACTATTACCACTCATTCACTATTCACATACTATATATTATATTATTGCTTTGGTATTTTATTTCCGATATAATAAATTAAGTTTTAAAAAGCTTGCATTGAAAATTCAACATCTTCGAAACAAAATGGAGAATTTTTAATTTTTGCCACCAAAATGAATTAAATGGAATTCCACAAGTCCCTGCATAAAGTCCCAGTCGTTCACGAAGGGTTAATATAGCATTAGAACTATTTTTCTTCATATATTTGGGTTAAAAAAATGCATGAAATATTTTTAATACGCCGAACTAGCATGATTAATATAGTGTTTTATATTTACTTTTTTATTTAATATTTTTTTAGTCTGCCTCATGGCTGTTATTCTGTTTTTCGTTATTTTTACTGCCTTTTCGTATTTTTTGTTAGTTGAAATATATTACCGAAACAGTTAGAGACACTGTATAAACTCATACGAAAATATTGCATTTTTTTCTGAAATTAACATCAATTGCAAAAGAGTTTTGTATTTTAGTTAAATGTCTTATAATTTATTTCCTGAAAGACTACCTTATATTGCTTATAGTTTTGATTCAATGTATGATAAGCCTTTTCATGTTAAATGCCCATAAATCTGAGCATTTCTTTCAGTCTCTATCGTGCTCTTCAGTGTTCAGGACCGTGAGATTTAAAGGTCTGGCGCATTAAAACTTTTTTCTTGGTCAAAAGTTTCATTGTCCGTTTCTGATTGTTTGGCTTTTTATCTTGATTTTTTTTTTTTTTTTTTTAAAAAAATAACATAACTAAAACATAAATTGTTTTTTTTTCCTCTTTCGGGAAAAGAAATTATATCGAGTCTGACATTAGGTTGGTGAAAATGTTTCTTCCAAATTGAGAATATGCTATGAAATAATGTTACTGATCAAGTAAATTACGGTGAATTAAAAATCTAATTTCTTTCTAAAAATGTTAGGAGGACGCTTTTTCAATTGAAAGACATACAGTTTTGATTTAGATCGTAAAATTATTTATTTATTTATTTTTCAGGAAACAAAAACAATTTTTTTCGTTATTACATTTGCTTCAAACAAATAAACTACAATAACAAAAAAAAATTGGTTCGACAGAATAATTCTTAAGTAAAAACAAATTTGACTAATTATTGACGGGTTAAATACTAAATTAAAAGAATTTAATGGATTACTATCGTACTACAATGATAAATATCTTATCAAACTATAGTTAATAATCATAATTTGAATCATTTCCCTGAGCAAATGAGGCCGATTGCAGCTATAGTTAATCATTCATTGGTGACAACTAGGAAGTGATATCATCCTACGATGTTTAACAAATTGAAGGCTATTACCGAATAATTTTTGGCGATAAGTAGGCAAATGACTGCCATAGCCTACGTCAGAGTGTCTCTACCGTCTCAAACAAGATACTCTTTTAGTGGATTTGTTAATTATCACTTCTTTTTAAAAACTAATTCCTCTCCCTAAATATCAGACCGTAAGACTACCTGGTCTTATACAGTTTAATTAATAGAAAAAGAGTATTATTAGTACGAACTGGGAGTGCAAATGAATTTTTTTTGTTAATTATACAGTAATATGTCAAAAAAAGATGTAATACGATAAGATATTTTTAGTTTTTTTGGGGAATCAAATTGCGGTTACAGCGTCCAGAGTTTTCATGGAAACATTTTGATAAAATTTGATCATTTCAACTTCTAAGCATACGACAGAGGCCCAATTTCATATGGCAATCATAAGAAATTGAGCGTAGAAGAATCTTAAAAAATCTTAGCTACCACACATTTATTTTTTTCAGGTCTTGGTAACCCTGGTGATATAAAAAAAATCCAGAAGTAATGAGGCAACGCTATTTTCAAGGATTTTAACAAACTTACTACCACATTAAAAAGTATGAAAACGTGGTAGAATATTGGTCAAAATTATGTAAGCAATTTGGTGCTTAACTTACGGAAAAAATCTTTCTTATAGCAGTAAATGTTTTAAACGATCATGATGGAAGCTTTTAGAAATGATGCAAGGCTGAAAGTCCATATATATCAAGACGGAAAAGAGTAAAAACTGGTAACAAATAAATTTAATTTTTTAATTTTTTTCGGGAATCATAGAAATCTATAACTTCCAATTGTTTTTATTTTGAATAGCTTCTTCGCCCAGAAAAAATTTATGACAGTGAATTGTTTATTGTTAAGAATAGATTAAATCCTCTCGAATATTATCTAATATTGAAATAGTTCTCCTACCAGTATTTTCTCTTTTCCGTCTCGCTTTCAGGCCTGAAATGATGTAATTTTTTCCCTTGCAAAATTCTCATTGACCAAAACATACCTGCCAACTTTTACGCGTTTGGCATAAAATTTTATTTCTATATTTAAAGTGATAGTAAAATGCATGCTTTCTATATA